TGTATCCAGAATCTGAAGAGGGCGTTCGTAGAGGTGCGCACCAGAAACGCTGCAGACGTAGGACGAAACCACGTTGAGCCGAAAGACCAGAAGCGACCGTTACGACCAAGTTCGTGACCAAGCGTGTGCCAAGCGTTCGAAACCAATATATCGACTGAGTGCGTTGACAAGAGCATGGGTGATCAGGCCAGCTTTCGCCAAAGTTGACTGAAGTCGACGGAACCAAACGGAGATGGTCGAAGGCGTGGGCTCAGGAAACAAAAAGAAAATCAAAAAAAGAAGAGTGTAGCATACGTGTAGTATAGGAATAATCCTACACCGTATCGGTAGTTGACTGTGCGTGTATTCGCGGAAGCGTACGGGTAACCGTACTCGGCGACCGGAACGTGGGACGATAGTCTCGTTCGTATTTCGTGAGCCTGCAATCTCATCCGAGGTCAGAGGCGGCGTGGTCTGCTGATCTGGACGTGAGACTGTCGTCTCGTCCGTAGACGGTGCAGATGACGCGTGCTGTTGACCGGGACGTGAGAATGAGGTCTCAGATACATCTAGCGTGGGACCTGAAGAAGATTTAAGGATCCCGCTAGGTTTGATAGGTCTAGCATTGAATCTCAGGTTGTCAGATAGGGCACCGTCATCGACGTGTGCTGGTTTGAGACGATCAATGCTGACGATCTCGACGTGTCCATATCGATCAACCTTAAAGGTCTTTTCGTGACGAGCGATCACGTGAAAAGGGCCTTCGTAAGGTTGTTGCTAAGGTTTGCGTACCGAATCTACTTGTACAAAAACATGTGAACAGGTAGATAACTCTCGAGGGAGAGCGACCTGTCGACGTTGTATTCGAGTTGACACCGGAGACAGCGTTCGCATAAATGCAGACAGTCGATGGACGTAGTCTGATTTACCGAAATTAGGTCTGCTCCGTGGTGTGAAGAATTCTCCGGGCAGACGCAATGTCGTGCCGTATACAAGTTCAGTGGCGGAACATTGGTTATCTGCCTTTAAGCTCGTTCTCGCCCCTAAAAGAACGAGCGGTATGGTTTCGTGCCAGTTGCCGTTTTCGTGTGCTCGTAGAACACTTTTAAGTTGGCAGTGAAACCGTTCAACTTAACCATTTGGTGCTGGGTGGTAGACGGAGATGCTTATGCGTATGCATTCCGTACCAAGCAGCCGGGTCAGCGAGGAGAATCGTTAATAGGGTAACATTTCTCGAATAAAGCGTGGAATTCATCATCACGCGAATAAAAAGTGACAAGGATTCGGTACACATACGTGTGAGTCTATTATATTAATACTATTCTTATCGTTATCCGTCATGTCGCGTATATTATATATTAAAAATATGAAAATATACGACAGACGTGGATAGATAAATCATAGACTCACCGAATTGGCTTCTTTGGAAGATTTGATCAGAAGTTGAGGCGTGTTCCAAAATACGGCTCACCAATGTGGCGTGGCGTCGAGTTGAGATTAACTATGAACACCGCTACCAAGAAACACGTGCCAAGCGAATCAGAAGGCGTAAGATGCTCGTTCCAAATGACTCCATAAAATCCCCGAGAAGCCGAATACCAGAAGGCAATTAATGGACCAAGTCGAGGTTTATTAGCTGGCTATCTCGTGGCATCGAAAGGATACCGAGATCGTGCCAGGATACAACCTTGGTTACAGAAGGTAACCGGATTCGCGCGAATTCACAATCAAAGTGTAAGCGAAAGAATGGAAGCAGAAAATAGCTGTCATTAGCACAGTCAAACAAAAGCACATTAAAACAAACACTGGTACAGTTGGTTGTAATAATAATTGTTTTTATTAAACCAGTCGTGTTCTCGTGATAAACGTGAGTCACTACAAGTAATAAAATGAACCAGACCACTGAACCTCATCCTATTGCCACCTCCCAGATTATTTCAGGTCATACTGGAGTCTCCAAATATGATGACAGCCACTCGTAATTCTCGATATAAAAATTCCCACACCTTTTCGAAAGGCATAAGAATTCGTGAAAATAAACACAGATTTGGTAGAAAAACTAACAGAAACCTACAACAGTCTTCCTTAGTCGTCTTGCAGTTGACTGTTGAGCATACCTATAGCCAGGAATTCTACATGGCATTTTATTCAACTATTACTAATGATTTAAGTTTAAGGGCCTCGATTTAGATCGGTAGATCCAAATTCACTATTCAGAATGCCCAAGTCAGCCAGTCCTCTAAAGGTTGATTTGGTACTTAAAAATACCTAGCAAGATTTTGGTCTGAGATCCGCATTTGTATACATAAGAGAGAGACAGTCGAAAAATGTCGAGATCACTGAGCTTATATACAAGAAGCATCCAAAACTAGTTGATTTCTGTGAAATCTGGTTTGCAAATATTATCACAGATGGTCAACTTTTGTCTTCTGAAGTGCGGTCATTTCGTAATGACGGGTTAAGCACTGTAGATGATGGGTTCGTGTTTTACATATCTACCTCCGTCAGAGCTCAGGGAATTTCATCTCCTAGGATAATTCACTAGAATGACTTATGGTGCACAGTGAAAATTATATGTAGCTATGGCCTGGTAGGCATAATCTGCAGATCGCTAAGAGCCTTGGATTCCTTGAATAATTAATTCTTTCACGCCATCAAATTTTATTGACAGATACCTTTAGTGTTCCTTATCTGTACTGCCTAGATCGTGACTTCAGATTAGTTGGATATATCAGAAACCTATCTAAAGAATTTAACTTGCCAGGAAACGTGGCTTTAGTTACTTTATAGAGGCCAAACTAACATTTCTCAAGACTGTACTGCTTTTTCACCAACCATGAATTAAAAGTCACGAACGTACAAGTCTTGAATCCACGTGGACAAAGCTATAATGTTGTTGTGTCGTTTTTTAACCATAAGGGTTATATCTGACTAGCTTACTTACTACAAAAACTTCCGCAAGACCGACGATGCTATTAGAGCAAATCCCAGGAGGTTATTCTGACAAGATGAACACCATTCTGTATGATTTTCACATTTTGCTAAACCACAGTGCGATTGTACGTCAAACAATAAGTTGGCTTTTCTGCCTGAGGTCTCGTTGACTACATCTGGCGTCGCTGCCAAACGGGAGGCGGAGAGGGCATAGTTCTGCGAACACCGTTACAGGGCTGGGGAGTCGCTAGTCGGGTAGGTCTGCTGCAGTAAAGTGACGTCGAGTGATGTGTTCTGGCGGAGCGACGTCATCTGCAACAGCTGTTGTTAACGGAGAGAAGCAGTGTAACGTACGGCTGCCGGGTGGACGTCGGATGTGAATGGCGCTAGATATCCTGGGTGTTGAGTAGACACCGGATTTAGACGGCTCTACAGGTCAACAGAGCTACGAGGATCAGCACACCTGCGGACTCGACACTGACGAGGAGCGTGACACGAACTGTGGCGAACAATGCAACCGCATAAGTGACTAGTTAAAGGGGACGGGTGTGACGTATGCTACTTAATTTTGCAGATATAAGTAGCATGTAATGCCAGTTGGAGGAGTAATACATACAAGCAGAACACTGAAAACATTCAATTGAAGACAACAGAAAGGGAAACAGAAAGTAATCGTAATAACGACAGTATTTAAAGAATCATGAAGCATGTAAAGGACAACTGATAAAAGACGTGTAAATTATACATTTGATGTATGGTTTATATATTTTTTGAAAGCTATCTGTAATTTCGTATTGAACTATAAATTAGTCTTCCCTGCCAGAGTTCTTGTCCACTACAATACCATACGTGGTAGAGGATGGAGCAAACAGTAACTAAGTAATCACTAATAATTAAGGAATAGTAAAACACACAACAGCCTATAGATCCAGGGAAAATGAACAGACATGCAGCATTAGAGTCATCCACTAATTATACAATAAGAACACAAACAATAATGGTCCAGAATACAGTACCGTGAACTTCACTTTCCCAAAGGTCGTTCAGTTACAACACTATTTTCGTGATGATTAGAAGTATATGAATCATTGTTCGAATTATGTATCCCCGAAACAGCGTAATTTAGACCAAGAATAACTAGATGAGCACGAACCAAGTACAAAGGAACCATTAGTTCATATAAACGCCCCAATTTCCTAAATAGATCAAACGTTATGATTAGAATATATTCAGTTCTCCAAGACTGTGGTGTTGAGCATGTTGCTCGGATTACAATCACGAAACAAGTCTCAATACTTACAATATATATACAATACACTACCTAATCAAATACAAAACTATGTATGAAAAAGTCAATTTTATTTAGTCATGCTCAAGCATTAAACCAGTTCTATGGATGTCAAACAAATGACAAGGCATTGGCTTTCTGAATGTTTTTAATATCATTTTCAAAGTATCTATGAAAAAGGTTTGGATTCATTATCGAGGGGCACCACCAAAGTATGAATGTTGTATTCAGTTTGATGTAGTACGAAATTTTGACGATGTGATTTGGAAATATGGGCAACTTGGTAATACAATAACCGTACACTTAAAATTCGATTCCATAGTTAGTCATAAATTAAAAAACCCATCATAAGTAATCTTCCCCATGAACAAATAATGTTTAATTTCATGTATTTCTTAGGAAGTGAAATACGAAACTACAACCTGTATCTGACTTAATGGAACAATTCGATAATATAAAATACACCGGGAAATTATTAAGCTATTGTATCCCAAAACACAACATTAAGCGACCATGGTTTGCAAGGAGTACTTCTTACTTTCCTGAATTTCTGTTATACGATATCATCAAAATTAAAATAGAATCAATATATACTATAGTAGCCATAGCTATGTATAATGATTCCAACAGAAGGAGCGTCCTACAGAACGTAATTTGTTGTACGACTGAATTATCAGGGACCCGACTTAATTCTTATAAAAGTAAATAACCTTATGTGTAGCAATATTGAAAATGCAAACTATAAACTATATGCTATACACACAGGCTCGAAGGTAAAAGAACAAGATGCAGTAAAAAATACTTGTCAACATTTTATAAAAATACAGTTTGAAGTTGTACATTGATATGTGTTCCGTTCTTCAGACAAGTGAGTTTACATGAATATATTAAAATATACATGAAGAACAAATACATTATCTAATCTCTTTTAAATTATGATTTTCTACCAGGAGTCATTTCTTCCATACATAAGCGCATCATTATTTTGATGGGTTTAGATGGATCGGCGAACTGATATCCTTTAGACCAGTCATAACCTGATGCATAACAGAACACTTGGCCTTTAGGATCAAATACACAGCAGGTGAGCGGTTGATCTGGAGAATCCGAAGAATGTAATTTAGTTCTAGCGTCTTTATCCCAAAACGAATAACATCCATCGGACCCCACTGTGGCTAGTGTGCCATGCACCGGATGGAAAGCCATGTCATTTACCTAAGGAAGGACAAAACATTAAGTAGATTACAATATCTTGGTAATAATATTGGTAAATACTTCCGGAAATAAAATGAAAATGAATGTCCTTAATTTACTGATCAAAACTAGGATATCAAATTCTCACATGACTATAAATAACGTATGTGTGAGTAAATTTATGGAGAAAAAGCAAAACAAGGACGCTCTCTAATAAATCCATTTCTCTGATGACGATTTAAATTATGAAGAGCAAAAGTTATTGTTCTACACTGGTACTAAAAATGCCGCATTCAGTACACTGAAACACTAATATACTAGAATTCAAATATAAGCAGCTGGATTCCATAATGAGATACTATCAAACAAGATCATTATTGAATATATAAATCAAAATATCTATGAATGAAATGGCACAATGACAGAAACTGATTAATATGAAAGAGAAACCACAAAAGTTGACTGGTTAATAATGCAACCATCGAAATAGAAAAATCGGAATTTCAATGAGGAATTATCAACTGTTGATTCGATGAAGTCTGAAGTGATGTAGACCCTCATGTTTGTCGTTGATAGTATGAACCATCGTGCTTTAACTTAGTGGCTGTATGGTATCATGATGTTATCTGAGGATCCTGTGATCATTTCAAAATGGGATTGTAAGGTTGCTTTACAGCTGAGTTTTGAAATGATATAAAACAGAAGTCTAATGTCTCTTGATTTTAATTCGTTCATCAGGTGGGATCAGTTTATGATAAAAACTATTTCGAAAATAAATTGCATGTTCAGGAAAACAATTGACTAAACATCTAGTATAAATAATTAATTACGTACAAACTGACTTCACAAATTGAACATTACGTTTACAGTATGAAAGCCGATGATACTACCGGGTAACTCAGAACGTGATATAAGAAGTGAGGTCAAAACTTACAACCTTTGGGATGCTAAGCGAGTGCAGAAACACATTTTTAAAAATTAAGATTCATTTCATACAGAAACTGAAAATAAATATTACCTAGTTTACTTATATTATTTTCATGAATGTGAATAGCACAATAAACAATACTTACTGCAAAAATTTCATGGTAACCGTTGACCGGTGCATTGGAACGATGACATTTAAAAGTGAAATTATCTTTAGGCGTAGTTGGATTTAAATACTGTATAGCGACACGCCCTTCAATGCTCCCTAGAGCAAAGCCACTAGGATTTTGTTTTTGTTTGTCCATGAATATGGATATACAACGACTCTGTTAATATAAAAAGTTAAGACGAGATGTACAGTTACGAATTTCGTGAAAACTGTAGAACACTCAACGAAGCTTTAATTTTAAAAAAAAGATGAAGTCTACTTATACGAAACTATAGAGTGAGCACGAAAATCATACTCAACAAGTACATAAACTTCTCATGCCTGATATAATTTCACAATACCAAAGATGAACACAACTACTTCCCCTCCCCCCTCGTCACAACCAGGTAATTCGAACTTAAGTGACTGATGAAGAGCATAAACATGATCTTTGGCTTTAATTTAAACATGGCAAACTATTCACTGTCGAATAATGAACTGATTCTGTTTTCACAAAAAAAACCCAGACAAATTATCCTATGGGTGACAACGCGTTTTAGTACTACTAGAGCTTAAAAGTACATTTTAGTGAAAAAGAACAATAATTAGCATGGCTAAAAAACAATATTTTGAATTGTGTAGTTTTGAAAAGTAACAACAGATTGCGACAAAATGAGTCCAAATGAAATACTAAAAAAACTAAACAAATTTTTTAAAGGTGATGAGTCAAACTATATGAATTAAGACTAAAACGAAGCAAATTCAGAGACATTGGGACGATGAGTAGTTGCTCGTCAGGAGAAAGACTTATCTGACAATCTGTAGCTTTGTAAGATAATTAACAAAATATTTTTATGAAAAAAAAAAACAACTTTGGCTGAAACTTAATGGATACAACAACTTAGATTGATACTCGTGTCACGTTTCGTGTTGTTCAATACCGATTGAATTCACCAGCACCACAATTATCGATAACTGGAGGCTGTAAACTATATTCAGAACCAGGTTCTAACGAATACACATAGATAGTAATTGACAGACCCAACACATCAACGTGGAAAAGTGAGATGGAAGAAAACTTGCTCAATTATTTTCGGCGTTTGACTTGATAAGTATTTCTTCTGATTCTCCTGACTGAGCAACATTTTGACATCGTCAACAAGTTTTTAATGTTGAAGCGAACAATTTTTATATAAGCTGAGAAGTATTTAGCTTACTAATCTGCCAATTTTGATCACAAATTCTAGAACTCGAAAGTTTGAGATAAATCTAAAGACCAAAACGTTAGGAAACAACGCTTAGGTAGCCAACTTTGCTTTCTAAGAGAGAAAAATAAGGAAACCTACGGAAATCTCTAAAGGGAAGGTAAAATAGGAATGTTTGTTCACTCTGTAATGAAATCGTATCTATCGTTACACAGTGTCTAGGTAATTCATGTGACAACCACTAGGGTATACATCTGTTACCAGGCGAGTCGATAATACTGACTGTCATAATAGTGAGTGCATACCGCAAAACTCATTAAAAAAACTTGTGAGAAATTTAGTTTCCTGTTGGTTGTAAATACATTATTCACATTTTTGTCTTCCATTAGAAACCTGACAAATATAATCAATAATATGAACAAATAACCGTTTCACTGTTGAATAACAAGGTTGATTCTCATTTATTGGACAGAACTATATTCTGGAAATATTTGCTAGGGTAAAAGATGTTTGGAGAGTCTAATAATAAATTGAGATAATTTCAGTTAGAGTATAGGATAGCCTCTTTGCATCAGTCCAAACCACCAATGAAGCTAATTGGGGTTATACACTTGTGAAAATCCTTCTTCAACTTTCCTATTGATGACATTTTGGAAAGTTTTAAAAGAAGTAAATAATGAGAAAGGATACCTGTAAACTGAAGAAACTTCAATGTCGAGTATGAGGACAATACAGTTTGACCACTAGGTGAAACACAAACTACTTAAATCTCACTTAATTTATTGGGTATGAGTTTTTGTAGACGTGGCGTACGGTTCGTATTATAGAAGTGTGACGTGATTTTACGATACGGACAGGAGACTACATGTGCACAAAGTGTTAGTGGTGAGTCACTGGAAACAACGAATAATCTCGGCTATTTCGGTATTTGTGAGTGTTTTATGCTTATGATACCTGCAAAGGATCTTTGACAGATATCTGCATTTAAGAGTGTCTCTGGAAAGTGAACAACATTTGATGTCAAGAATGTGCAAGCAACTCTTAACTAAAGTGATGTTATAGGTATTCGAGATCGTCACCGTGATAAACACTAACTGCTTTGCATCATCAGAAAAGATAGAAAGCTTATACAGTAAAAGTCGTATATTTCTCTTATTTCTCCTAGTTGTCAATCACTTTAGAAGGGTACCAAAAGGAATAAAGGAACAAACTATTAGATGAATAATAGCCTAACAATTAGTAAGAATGTTTGTACACCATATATCTACGTTGGTTTTAAATTATGTTCAATTACCTTGAGAACTATTTAAAAGACAAGAGGTTACGAGACACACTGACCTGAAATTTAAGAGGAGACTCTAATTGGTTGAATTGAGTAGGACCATTTTCTAAATTATACACAAATATTTGACGACCTGCAGTCCCGACAAGGGCAAGTGGATAATGGACGTCAGCACAATAGATCCTTTCCGGCAAATCCAAGTTTAAAATAGGCTGAGGTTGTCTTGTATCCCAGAATCTGTAAAGAGATTAATTCATCTATAATTGAAAGACAACTATTCATAGAAATTCTTAAAAGTAACTGATCTAAACATTTTAAGGGTCATATTTGCTAGATCTACCTGAAAAGCTCCTGAAGGTAAGGTAGAAAGATATTATTTATACGAATTTTCAGGTGTTCATATAAAATACACCGTAACAGGCATACCGAAACATGTCCATGAATGAAATATCGATTTTCAAGCCTTGACTAGTAAAGTAAAAAGTTTCCAAAAGAAATATATCAGGACGTTCATAAATCGACAAAAAGTACTGGGAAGAATCCATAAAACCAACTCCCAAGAGGGGTAGTGAGCTCAGTTTATCAACTATCTAAGCGGTATAAATACAAAATTCATTTTAAGTGTAGGACTAGTTCATCGAAGTGAAGTTTCATTTTCAAGTAAAGTAGTATGAGTCACTGGCACCTTTAGCTTCCAGACTGATCAAAGTTACAACTGTATACAAGAATATTTCGTTGTTACCAAGAGAAAATTGATATCCCTTGAGAAAATGTTCTTCTCTCTACAGAATATTTCAACACTGCAAATCCATTGACTACAAGTCTATAAACTGTTGAGTACCGAAACTGACAGTGTTATACTGTGAATCAAACTATTTTAAAAAGTGGCATAAATAAAAAAAAACATCTCGTCGGGTAGAAAGCAAAAAGGTTAAAAATCCAGTGTACCGAAGAATCGTACATGTAGTAAAATAAGTTGAGGAATTTACTTGTCAAATGGCTGTCAACTTTAGTCGTCTATTTTTCATAAGTGAAAAGATAAAAGGAAACAGATCATTTAACTTCCCTTAACGTCTGAGAAATAATTACAATTGTACGAGTGTTAGGAAAACCAGATATTTCAAACCTGGAAGATATACGTAAGGGTTTGATAACGATCCTATAGAGATCATCTACTCGTATAATAAATACAGACCATAGTTTGATAAAAGAATTTACACGCAACTGTCGGGTTGAAGTTATGATAGAAACATAGTGAGTTATTTTCATTATTATAAGACCTACAAGGACATTGCTGTTTGAGTTAAAATGACTGAAAAATCAACTAAATTTTACTGAAGTTATATATATATATATATATATATATATATATATATATATATATATATATGAATTGGGAAACCATAGCAGTTAATGTCGACTATATTAATAACTCCAGTCAAAACGTAAACCATTAAAGCCTATATATCTTTCAGTAGCACAATGCTGATAAGACTATCATTAGGAAAATCATACTGGATTACTTGCATAACGAGTACGAATGACTTACTAAGAAATGTTTGGTGATACTATAATTTATGGACGACCTTTGAACGACGCCGAAGTGACTTTGAAAGTGAACAACTACTACTTAGGACTAAATGAGGGTTATAAAGCAGTCAGAATTCTTTTTTACAGTTGATGGTTAGGGTTAAAAAGTAGATTTAGGGTTTTCATCACGAACTGACATCAGCTATAATGCCAAAACTCTATCTAGCCAAATGTATGGATGAATTCCGCACCCGAATTCGCGACTTGTTATCTTATATCTGATTGGTTCGTTCATAAATTATAGTCTCGCCAAAAATTTTTGAAAAATAAATGTTAGTGTTGTTGTTCTCTGTTGTATATATATCAAAGCCTAATGTGAGAATACAAGTGCTACGACACATGATAATCAAGTTCTTAAAGCACATATAGTCAGCAGTAAGTATGATGGGATAAAAATGAGTGACGTACAAACATACTCTAACCATTTAGAAACCAGGGTTTATCATCAAGTAATGTAGACCTGGTAGTGTAGTTGACTCGTACAAAGATTGATAACAGCAAATGCTACCAGTCAGTCTGACTCAGGACTCAATATTTATGCATAAACCAACTAGACTCTTCTTGTACACTCACTTTATATTAGTAGTTTACGAGCTTACCCTACCTTTACTTAAAGTTGACGAGTATTCATAAATATATAGTGCCTGTTAATCGCTGGGAATATTAGTAGTTGCTGGATTAGACGGACCTGAAGAACTAACCGAAACCAGAAACTATAAGTAAAGATAAACCTCAGCTTACCTAAGTCGTTTATCCCATGAACCTGTCATCAAACAAGAATAATTTGGAGCGGTAATAAAATGAGCAGTTTTAACGGGAGCATCATGTACACCAACTTGCGCAAAAGTGTTTGAACCAAGATCCCACATTTGCGCAGTTTTGTCTGCTGATACACTGAAAATTTTCGAACCATCCTAACAGAAAACATTTGAAATACATAAAAGAAGTGCAACTTACAGTGCTCCAACAAGCCCCAAATACAGGCCCTTGATGCATCTGCTCAGCCTTGGGAATGGTAGAACCATTGGCTTGGACTTCCCAAATTCTAATACGATTATCCCAACTAGTAGCAGCCAAGAAGGTTGTTTGCATGGACTCAGGACTGAAGCGAAGACACGACACAGTATCTCCTGGAGGAGACTGGACTTCGGCCGTTTTTTGTGCAGAACTCATAGTTTTATTTGAACCAATACTAACTGAATTAAAGACATTTTGTGTCCCACTATTAAAGAGTGTCATCCTTAAAAAACTTTCGTAGCACACTAGTTGCTTTTCGCGCCAGTGGTTCAAATGGTTCAAATGGTTGTGGACGGAATAGAAGAAGCTTTCGCTTAACATGCTTACGTGTCTAGTAGCAGGGGATCACCAAATCCTCCAGGCAGGAACCTAGGTATGTTAACAATAAAAAAGGAAAAGAAATTGGTAAATCATAATGTGATGCTGTCTTTGGTCCTTAAGAATAGATCAAGTTGCCTCTTGAAGGACTCCTGAGAAGTCGCTTGGACTAGCTCGGCCGGCAGCGAATTCCAGCTTTTGACAACTCTTAAGGAGTAGAAGTTGTGTCTACATTCCGTCTTGCTATGTTGTGTTTCCAGTTTCTGGGTGTTACCCCTTAGGTTATTATTCGAACTAAGCTTAAGTAGGTGTTTAAGATGATGTCCAGAAGTATTAGGAATACTATAAGCCATTAGTAAATCACCTCTAAGACGCCTATATTCTAGTGGGTAAAGGTCTAGTGAACGGAGGCGTTCTTCGTAAGGCTTAGATTTGAGTCCTCGAACTGATTTCGTGGCTCGCCGTTGGATACGCTCCAAAGTGACCTTGTCCTTTTGGAGTGAGGGGAGGAGTACTATGTTTCCGTACTCCAAATGGGGACGGATGAAACTATTGAAGATTGTATGGTTGTGAGTGCTGAGTGTCTTTGCGATTGGTTGATCGAAGTATTTTAAAAAATCCTCAACAGAAACCATTTGATTGTATATCCGATCGGTATTCGGAATAAAACTCCTATATAGTGCCCTCGTTTTGGATTTTATACATAATGTAAAATGTCTGAAACATCATTTTACTTTGAAGGTGGTGGTACCATATGACCTATCTTAATCCTGGATAAGAAGGTCTTTCAAATAATCTAATTTTCTTAGCAATTTATGGAAAATGAGACTTCGATAACGCAATGATGTAGGAAGTTTCTCTGGCTGACGAATTGATGGAAAAGCGTGTCTTCTCCTGACAGGCATTTCCGTCTTTCTCCAGTGAACCAATTGGAGTGCCCTCATAAACCCACTGAACTGGGAGACAAATTAGATAATACAAGGAATGTGACTGGACCGCTTTCAGTCTTGCTCTGTAACAAGTGAAATGGGTTTCGTTTGATAATCCACTCGACATATAGCAGGCTTGAGACCTCAAGAATCACGTTGATTGTGATGCTGTAGCGGTGAACAAATCCCCAAGATAAATAGTTCTGTAAGTCTTCGACATTGATGCTGGCGTTATCGATTTTGCTGGACATGACCTGGCAAAAGGCACGTGGTCACGCGTCAGCACCAGATCACAAGTGAGTGTGCCATGCTATACACTCTATACAACTGTTAGCCAGGTGAGACAAAACGATTACTGACATCTTGACAGCCTTCCAAATATGCCTTCGAACCCCCTCATTTCTGACTTCTGATTTGACTGGGTTGGTACACTTCAGTTATGAATGAGTTACGTGTAAAGCTGCTGCCAAGCTCAAAATGAGTGTGGCATCTTTAGTACGTCTGGAAAACCAATTCATTAACATTAGTTGCCATCCATATATATATAGTTTACTGTTTCATAAAGTGTTCGTTGGCGTTAATTTATCGTTGAAAAAACACCAAACTCTGGTTTCGATTTTTTTACATCATTCTGCAGCTCTGAATTATCCCTTTTGTTTCAGTCCGTCCTCTAATTATTCATATTGTCAGTGTATAACAAGGTTGATACTCAAAAAAGAAACTTGGAGTTTCATTTACAGAAAACATGACAATAATGGTTCAAAAAAAGTGCTCACTGACACTACTCTAGACATTGTTCACCTGCCATATAAGTCGAAATTAACAAAAGCTGTTTGTTTGCATTCAACTAAAACTTTTATGCTGAGAATTAATTTTTTTGAGTCCCAAAAATTGTTCAAATTAGCAGTGTGCCAATCAGGACTTTGCTAGAGTCAATAAAAGATACTTCTGTAAGTCGCTCTTGATGCCTACAGTCCTATATTTTGGTGTTATTCAGCATATTCTTGTCAGAAGTAGAGACCGAGGTACAAATTCAATCTCCAAGGCACTTTCTATATTCGACATTAATTCTCAACCAAAAGGTCCTTGAAGCCGTAGATACGAGAAGATTTGGATTCAGTATTTATTAATAAGAGAAGACCAGAAATAATGAAGGCGGAAGACTTGATAGGTATGACATGGCTCGGCCATTCAGTTGTCACCACTATGTGACTTCTTGCATTTCATAATAAATATATTATTCTCTTCCTAATCCGAATTCATTCTTCAGGAGTCCTTAGCAGTAACTACTTAACGTCATTATAAGAGGAATAGGTGTGGCACACAAACCGACAAAATCACTACAATGAATCCTATGCAAACCAAAAGATGAAATAACAGAGGAAAACAAATCAAACATCATCTACAAAATAAATTGTGTCAACTGCAAAAAACAATACATCGGACAAAGCGGACAACCCCTTTACCTTCGCCTACATGAACATCAATTAGCAGTCAAACGGCATGATATCTCCTCACTTATATCAATACACGTGGACAACTACGGACATTCATTCGATTGGAAAAATGTGGAAATCTTAGACAGAGGAAACTCCAAAAACACCAGAGAATTTTTAGAAGCCTGGCACTCAGGTCAATCAGCAATCAACAAGCGTATTGAAATCAATTCAATTTATCAACCAATGAGAAAAATCATGCACAAACATAAGAACGAAAATCAAAACAATGGGAGACACAACCAAAACAAAGAAGTAAACAATGACAAATTTAAGGTCAATAAGAACCAATCAAAATCGAGGTGCAGAGAACAAGCTTTGAAACATATATGGAGAAATTCAAACACTTCACTTCTATCTGAAGTTTGTGCTGAGGATGTCGTTCAGAAGAACGATGAAAGCTCCACGACCAAACCATCCAGCGCAGAGAACAAAACTCTACCAAAATCATCCACCTGAGCTACAAATCTTCTCCACCATAAATTACAAGTGTATATATGGAGAGATTTTCACAGGTGAAACCTTGAAAATGGAACCCAAAACGACTACGAACTCATATTTTTAAGTCTTCATATTATTGGTAGGTTACGTCGTTTGATTTCTTCTCTTTGAAATGTACATTCCGATTTTCCAGTGATGCAGTTACGGAATATATTCAATGCTGTTTTTGAGTTTCGTGTTTCAATCTGTTTGATAGTCATTATTATTGTAATTCCGCGCGCTTTATAATCTTAATAAAACCATGCGAAGTTGTTTCAGTAGTTTATCTCAGCAACGCATAAATCAAACGACCGAGAAGGTGCAGTGTGATAGACGGTTTAACAAACTAGTGGATTTTACGAGCAAATACATGGAGGTGTAAAAGTAAGCTATCGAATGTTGGTACATGATTCGCCATGCATTACTCGTAAAACTTGACCTATCGGTATGGATTCCGTTGTCCACTTTTAGCCAACCTAGTAAAAGTAACTTTGGTGATCAAACAATTGGTCAATTTCGAAACAAACAGGATATGAGTTGTCCAGTTAGCAGGTCTGTAACAGTGAATATATGTGCTAAAGATTTTGATGGTGGAACCAGGTTGATAGTACGTGGACGCATATATCGGAAACGCCCCCGCCGTGTTGGAAATTTTCTTAATCCATGGACTTAGGGTCCCTGAACTACGTTGTTTGCACACTGTATGCATGTTCGTACCATCTTCTTGCATCTGCATTTATGAGTTGCCTGGTGAAGCATTCTCTCATGAGCTTCATAGCTGCTCGAATGCTGAGTTGTCATAAAAGATTAAATCAAAGGGTACTTCTTTTACAGGAATTCGAGACGAATAAATGGTTGTCCTTAATTAAGATTTCATGTACGGTTGTAAAATCAAAGGAAATAATCGAGGCACACTTGAGTAACAAGTTGAATTTTCCCCTAAGAATCGTCGGACCATCACCACACACTTGAAGTTAAGCTATGTCCTCAAGATAGATATCTTTTTGTTGGATGACCGTATTAAATTTCCCCTTCAACACAGCATCTGCAACGACACAGAGTTCCTCTTGATGAACTCTGAGTTAAATGTAACCTCTTAGATATAATCCAATTGCTTAGTTTTTCGAGATGAATTTATATCGCATGAAGTGTCAAAGGAATAGATAATTTACGACCTCTCAGCAGAAAGACTAAACGTTCAACAGCGATAGTTAGTAAGTAATCTATAGATAATAACTACCTGATTTTGGTCTGAGCGACTTTGATTAGAAACTTTGGGTGACATGGTTCAGAATCGGTTAAAAGGTGTAGATGCATTGATCATCCATGTTCATCAATTTCTTGAGCCCCAAAAGTTTCTTATACTTTCCTAATCTTCTTTGATCCTCACTTAAATTGTTTGGATTAACACGCGCTGTTACTAATAATAGGACTCTGAGTTAAGCTCTAACAATTTTGACTCTATGAGTTCATAGTGTGGCAACCTGAACCGATTTGTCGCAGGTTCTATATTTCATATGAATGACTGCTATTGATAAGAACAATGGGACATAGTACAGTGTGTGAACATTATGAAACATGAAATGTAAAAACATCCTTTTATACTACTACAGATAAATATATCAGTTAAAATATTAAGAATTTGAAAGGTAGTAAATTGATGATTCAAGTACTGGTTTAAAAAAGAGATATTTACTGGAAAAGATTAATCATCTACTTAGAAAATTCATCTACATTTGTGGTACTTTACTTACTTACGTCTGTTACCCCTCGTGAAGGATCATAGGTCGCCCACTAGCATTCCCCATCGAACCCTGTTCTGGTCAACACTTCCTAGTTGCTACTCACCTTTTAGATGTCTATTTCCAATTTTCGAAAAAATGTCTTTTTTATTATGTAGTGGCATTGGGCTCAAACCACACAGTTTTCAAAGCTGAACACGAGACAACTAGGAAAAAATATATTCAGCATTTAACGCGGAGAAAAACCGAACGATGGAGAAGGCGAGAGGGACGAGTTCAATTAATTCAATTAATCGGATGCTATGACTCAGCCTTGCAGGTGTGG